AAGTAATATAGTATTATATATATATATATATATATATATATATATATATATATATATACTGTACGTAGCGTTAGTTTTTCTCGAGAGTATCCTCGAATGAAAAGTTAATCGATGCAACCTCTTCTTCCCTTTCTTGTCAACTTATTCTCGATCTCGAGGGAGGAAGGAGGACAGGTTTTATTATCGATTTTTCACGCGCGATCTCAAATTCGCTCGATCGAGGATGAAAGAGGGATAAAAGAGAGGGGGGAGGGGGAGGGGGAGGGGGGGGGAGAAAGAAAAAACGGCATCGCATCACAGATCTCGTTTTTAAATTCTAAAAAGTTTTAACCCTTTGCGCTCGTCATTTATATTTCAGAATGTTACCGTCAATCAATTTCGAAAATTTTTTTTCACATTCCACATCAAAATGAAAGTTTTTTTTTTTTTTACTTAAAAAAAGATTTGACAGATACAAAATTAATTTTATCCGCATCTCAATCCCTTGATCGGTGAAAATCCATATATATATTTATTTTATTTTATATATATATACACACACACATTTAAGCAGAAAATAAAAGAAAACATCGTAACAAGAGTTCGTAATAAGTGTTCGTAATAAATATATGTATAACGATGGATAACAACACAGCAGGAGTGCAAAGGGTTAATTTTAAATCGCTAGAGAGAAACCATCCCCCTCCTTACATCTTCCCCTCCAAAGTTTCGTTCTTCCTCCGAAACGATCTCTCCAAAATCGCCTTCTCCTCCTCCTCCTCCTTCCCGCTCCCAGTCGGCCGTGGCTCGATCAAACCCCCCAAAACGGCCTCCACGTACTCCTCCCTCCCCTCGTCGGTGTTCAAGGAGAAGCCTAACGACGGTACGAACTCCGTCTTCACCACCGTCTTCCCCTCGTCCGTTCCCTTCGTGGTCGTCGTGGTCGTCGTGGCCGTCGTGGTCGTCGTGGTCGTGGTCTCGGTCGAGGAGGAAGTGGTGGCCTCCTCCGTTCCATCGAGGAAATCGATCGCCCTCTCCTCCCAGGGAAGATCGAAGATCGAGGGGCCGCCGTTCCCCGCGTAGAGCGGCTCCCTCAAATTCTCCAACCGCTCCAGAATCTCCCCTTTCGATCGGCCGATCGCCGACTCCGTCCAACTCTCTCCCCCCCCGTTCGACTTTCCCGTGGCTCGAGAGGACGTGGCGGACAGAATGTCGTACAGAATTCGCGTGCGAGCGCTCAGCTCCTCTTCTTGCTGTTCTTGCTGCTGCTGTTTTTGTTGTTGTTGTAGTTGTTGCTGCTGTTGTTCTTGTTGTTGTTCTTGTTGCTGTTCTTGTTGCTCTTGTTGTTGTTGCGGTTGTTCTTGTTGTTGTTCTTGTTGCTCTTGTTGTTGTTGCGGTTGTTGTTGTTGTTGTTGTTGTTGTTGTTGTTGTTGTTGCGGTTGTTGTTGTTGTTGTTGCGGTTGTTGTTGTTGTTGTTGTTGCTGCTGTTGTTGTTGTTGTTGTTGTTGTTGCTGTTGTTGTTGTTGTTGTTGTTCAAGGTCGAAGGAGAAGGAGAACGGTCGAGGGATCCGGTCGAGCTTCAACAGCTCGGACATCAATCGTTGAAGGCTTATCGCGGCCTTCGTGGTCCTGCTTCCGTCGGTGGAATCGTTCGATCGATCCACGGATTCGATCGTCTCCAACTCGCTCGAGTTCCCCTTCCCCTGGCGCGCTACCTGTTCGCGCTTGTCCAGAGTCGGCCGTAGATAAGGCGAGTTATTGTTGCTCTCTGCAACGGTTTCCTCGATCCTCTCCTTCTTTTCCACGGTGACGACGCTGTTCGACGCGTCCTCGTTGTAATCATCCTCCGCTCCCTCGCTCGCCGTGGTGATCGGCTGCGTAGAGGATTCGAACGATGGCGTCTCGAACTCGATCGAATCCTCCTCCTCCTCCTCCTCCCTCGACGAAGGGGCCTCCTCCGATCGATCCTGGCGAGGGAACAACACAAGGGAGGACAGCAGGGGCTTGGTGGTGGCCTGGTAATTGGATACAATCCCGTCACTGCTCGTCGTTCCTTCCGATTCCTTCTCGTCCACATAATTGCGGACGAGGCCGAGCTCGGTGGTGGTGGTCGGGTAGAATTCGTCGTCGAGGGTCGACGAGGAGGAGGAGAAATCCGGCACGTTTATTCGAAATTCGGAAGAAACGTTGGACTCGTTCGTGGGAAGATTCGTGGTTGCCTTTATGACGCTCTCCACGACCACCGAGGGGGCGGTGGTGGTCGAAGGTCGAAGGGAATCGTTCTCACGATTTCTTTGGTATCCTCCCCGCTCCTCGATCGCCTCCTCCCGCCTGGTCGACGCCTGGTATCCCGTGTCCTCTTCCTCGACAAACTTCCCCCCATCCTTCGTTCCGTGCCCGGCCGTCGGATCCTGCCGTTGCACCGAGATCCCTCTGAACGAGTGGCGCAACGCCTGCCCCAGACCGATGCTCCCCCTCGTCTCGAACTCGTCCTCCAACCCGTCCGTTCCGTTGCCGTGATCGAGCAGCCGAAACTCGTAATCGTAACTCTCCTCCTCCCTGGCCGTGACTTTCCTCCTCGAAGGAGGAAGGAGGGCAGGCGGTGTGTTCGCCCTGCTCTGGGCCGAGTGATAATCCGAGCTGTCTATCGCCTGGTCGAGCCTGTTGTACGCGAGGGTGGAGGAGGGTGGTCTGAGGGAAGTGGTTGGCACGGTGGGCGAGTAGAATCGTCTGGTCGTTGTGGTCACGGTCGGCACTGTGGGCGCGTAAGACGGTTGGAACTGGTCGAGCGGGAAGTCGAGGTTTCGACGGCTCGCTTCTTCCTCGAATCGTTTGCCTCCTCTGTGCTCGTATCCGGGCACAGAGTCGATCTTGTGCACTCGAACGATGGGCGAGTCGAGAGGCCTGGTTGAAGAGAATTTCTCTTGGCGGCCTCGATTCGATCTGCCGTCCTTGAGGAGGAGACGGTAAGGAGGAAGGAAGTCTCGGCTGAAGGAGGAGGGTTTGCGGTGGTCGGGGTCTGGGTCGGTTCGAAGATCGTTGAGGGAGGAGTCGACAGGCGGGGGGGAGTAGTCGGGTATCCTCGCTCTCTGGTAGTCGACGATGGTTCGATCCGGATCGACCAGGCCGTCCTTGGTCACGTCTGTCCCCGAGCGAAGGCTCATCATGGCGTACGCGTTCCGGATCATCTCGTCGTCGTCCTGCTGGTAGCTGTCCCTGTTCACGTCCACGTATTTGCCGCTCGACGAACAGTCGACTTTGGTCCACCAGTCGCAGGTGAGCAACTTTTGACTGAACGTCGAGCCTATCGGGCACAGGAACGAGGAGACCAATACGTCGTGGCACACGTGGAACACCTGGCATCCCGCCACCTCGTCCGCGTAGTAACCTGGGAACCAAGTTTTTTTATCTATTTATCTATCCGTTGGAAAAGGGGTTGATTTTTAGAAATATTGAGAAATTTTAACACTATCGAGTTACCCCTTTGCGCTCGTATTTATATTTAAATAGGCTACCAATCAATCTTTTTCTTCGTCGTTCGATCAAAATGAAAACAGTTTTTGAAAAATGCATAAATTTTATGCTGCATCTCAATCCCTTGATCGGTGAAAATCTGTATATATATATAAAGGAAAACATCGTAACGAGAGTTAAAACATAATACTAAATATATATATATATATATATATATATATATATATATATATATATATTATGTATAGTA